GAAAGAAAGAAAGAAAGAAAGAAAGAAAGAAAGAAAGAAAGAAAGAACAAGAAAAGAAAAAAAGAACACCACAGACCACAGCTTCAGAAGGGAACTATAGTGTCACAAAGCATGTACTAGTAAAAAGAATACTACAGAGTCAGAAAACCTGAGTTCTAACATCCATTCTGATATTGGCCAGGAAACTTTCTGAGTTTATTTCCTCATTTGCCAAATAAAGACATGACACCAGTTGGATTGTAAAGTTCACTTTCTGGCATTAAAATACCATAATTCAGGGGCTAAAAATACTGCCTCCTGTTCCCTATTTATTCTACAAGACCCAACCTACAGGAATCCCTGGCTTGTGTTTAAAATGACCTTGCAGGAGTCCCTGGGCGGCTCAGTTGGTTAAGCGTCCGACTTTGGTTCAGGTCATTATCTCACGGTCCGTGACTCTGAGCCCCGCGTCGGGCTCTGTGCTGACCGCTCAGAGCCTGGAGCCTGTTTCGGATTCTGTGTCTCCCTCTCTCTCTGACCCTCCCCCATTCAAGCTCTGTCTCTCTCTGTCTCAAAAATAAATAAACGTTAATAAAAATAAAAATAAAATGACCTTGCATAGCTTTGTGTTTCTTGAAACACTTTACTAACTCAACTTCAAATGTGCTTATAAAATCGTTAAACTGGTTCATGGAAGAAACCTTCCTTATTTTTCATTGTATTTTCTTTCCTCACTTCAACTGGATTCTTTCCCTTTTTTCATATATAAAACTGGTTTGTTCTTGCTTTGTTCTTTGGGTTGTTTGGGCTCAAAAATTTCTAAACATTCCAACAGGGCTCTGGAAGACACCTACAAAGTGTTTGAGTTGGGTTTTTTTTTTGTTTGTTTTTTTCCTAAAGCAAATCAGTATTGCAACACTTGTGACCTTCAGCACAAATGTACCCTTCAGTTGCTACTGAAACTTAAGAGGACAGAGGAAACAAAATTCTCTAGCATCTCTAGTTCTATTACTAACCTCAGAGCATAAATAAGTTGTGCCCACGCTAAAAAAAAAAGTTTGCTAGGTGGAACTGTTGTGGCTGCTGTTTTACTAGTGAAAGTGGAAATGGGTTTAAAAACGTGGCCTGAGTAGATTTGGAGAATTTAGAGGGATTTCTGCACTAAACACTATAGTCTGTAACCCCTCTAATATAGGAGATAAATTAGTTTAGATCTCAGACTCTCAGATTCTTAATAACAGATTGATCACATGACTAGGATAAATGAAGACCATTTGAGCAACAGAAAACTACACTTGATGGTTTTTTAAGGCCCTGTGTAGGAAAAAAAACTCCCAGTTCTGTGAGCAAAGGGTTACTAAATATTGGTAAGCGTGGATTAAAGATCCTGATTCTTTAGACACTTCTCCTAAGACTCTCCTTCTACTAAGACAGCAGACCTACCTGAGGCTAGGATTTTTCAGAAACTCAGAGGAGCAGGACCCCAGGTGAGAATGACATGGCTATAATTAATCCCTTTTTCTCTTCTGCTTACAATACATTCAACTGTCCTTTAAATTATACACAAGAATCTCCAGAAAACTTTCCCAAATAAACCCAACTTTTTCCTACTTGCCAAAGTTATCTAGCCAGATGTTTGTCCTACCAGATGTGGTCTGGTTAAGGAAGTGTAGCTATTAAGTGCATACTCATTCTCCCACACTTTTGGAATGTAATCTTCTCAAGAAATGAATTAAGTCTTGTCCAATACTCAGTACAAGCCGAATTAGGAGGGAAGTGTAAGAAAGGAAGAATAAAACTATCACTGAGTGTGTATTACATCCCGGGTACCTTATATAAATTGTTTCAATAATTCTGCACAGTGAGCCCAGATTATCCTGTACTTCATCATTTCCAGGATGCACATTTTTTCACTTTTCAAGATGTCTTAAATCTGGATGCATCTGACAACTCATAATGGCATGGCACAATTTTAATTGGCAATCATTTTCTACCGTTAGTAGTAGACAAAATAATGGTGCCCCATACAAGTGATGATGTCTCACATTCATTAAAATATTATTTTCATGGGATTGGAAACAGAAATTGAGAAGCAGATTCAGAAAAGTGCCTAGGGTTACTACACAGACTGTAAGGGACTAACCAGACTTCAAATGTGATATGGTTAATTTCAAAGTCTCTTCCTATACAGTCAACCTAACACAGAGACTTTGAACACAGCAAGAATTTTCAATAGTCAGCATTACTCAAAGACTAGCAGCAACCTTGGGTATTAACTTTTCAGGAACCGAGGAGTCCACACCGCCTGGTGGAGACACTGCAAATAGTTGGTTAAGGTACCAGCCAAACCTAAACTTCTAGGAGTTTTCTGGGCTATGCTGACTCTGGGGTGCAGAACCCAGCTTTCTGCTAAGTCTACAATCTACAGGGAAAAAACAAAAACAAAACCAAAAACAAGCGGCAGCCTTACTCCCTCTCCCCAGTTTGCTACTGAGACATTCTTCCCCCATCTCTCAATCTAGACGCTCAACTCTCCCAGCTGAGTTCATCCTGGACCACCTCACCTCTCACTCCCAAATAGGGGCAGTCTAGATGCCGCCCCCATCAGGCCATTCATCATCGCGGGCGCTAGAGCATGCCCCCAGGTCTGCAGGGCTCCCAGACCCGAATCGGGGTTCGGCCACCCTACTTAGGCCAGCAGCCCAAGTCACGCTCCCCACCCCACAAAGCTCCAGCAAAGCTCCTTCCGCCCCAGGAGGTCCCCGACGTGGGGCCGCACTCTCGCGTCTCCCAGGCCCCCGCTGAGGTCCGGCCCCGGAGGGCCCAGCCACGGCCTGGGCCGGGACGTTGGGCCTGGCGAGGCCAGGAACTCTCGGAGACCTGGAGGAGAGAGTCTCGGCTGGACTCACGGAGGAAGGAGCGCGACAGGAGGCGGGCGGCTGCCAGGCAGCTGCTGCCAGAGGCCATGGTCGCAGTGACAGCGGCAGCGGCAAGAGCTGCGGTCATCCACCAATGACACTCCCAGGCCCCCGGGGACCTGGTAAGGGCCGAGGCTCGAAGAGGAAATGGGTGGCCATGGCAGTCGCCTAAATGAATATTCCGCCGCAGAGACTTCGCCAAACATTGGACACAGTAGGTAGAGGGGAAAAGAGGTCTCTTAACGGAGAAGAGGACATTAACTCGGCTGCTCCCCGGAAATGTGGCTTTAATTCAACATTATTTACAACGGCAGCTTAGGAAAAACCTCACGCGAGGCGGGTCGGCGCATAGCATTGTGGGAAATGTAGTTTGGTGGCCTCGACTTTGTGGTTTAGGTGGAGGCGTGCGGGAGGGGAAGCGAGCGGGAAAGGGGAGACTCAGACCCAGGAGATGGGGTGGCAAGAGGAATGAAGTGCGAAGAGCAGTGCAGAACTTTCCGTATCCTTAAACCAATCTGGACCTTCATTTATCTCGGCTGGCATACGGAGAGGCCAGTATTATTCCTCACCACATACCCTTGTGAGGACCTGGAAGAATTACCGATGGTAACAATGTGCGTTCATGCTATTGTCCAGTGAAGGTAAGGAAATGACGAGAAAGACCAAAAACTACCCTACTGACACTTAATTTCTTGGAATATGGATCTTTTGGTCAAACAAGCTATCATACAGCCTTTGACTAGCACTAAGTGAATCCCCTTCCCTGGGGATCCTGGAACATTGAAGTTATAGATCAAATGTGACTGCTCCTTTTTAAACAAACCGGTCATTCCTGTAACTGGTTTAGAAGGAAACTCAGAGTCCAGGAGTCAAAGAGTAAACAGATAAAGTAATCTCTCTCCCTGCTTCCAAACATGATCTGAGGTTCCTTGTCATTCTCATCAATAGAATTATGATAATTTACTGACGTAGTAATTACAATTTACACTGAGCTATGTGATGTATGAGTAGGATTACCCAACAGAGATTTCCCAATATTTCTTCTATGATCCAGATATTGTCAGTCCTGGGTTGGACTTGTCTACTCACAAATCCCTCCCTTATCTAATGTATTATGTTCTTGCGATCATGTATTTAAATAGTATCAGTGGTGGGGTGCCTGGGTGGCTCACCCCACCCAGATTGAGCCAAGGACTCTTGATTTTGACTTAGGTCATGATCCCAGGGTCATGAGGTCAAGCCCCACTCTGGCTCCGCACTGAGCGTGGAGTCTGCTTAAGATTCTCTCTCTCCCTCTACCCCTATCCACCTGCCCATCAAATGAAATAAAATAAACAGTGGTTTCCAAATAGGTCCAGTATGAAGACTCATTTTCAAGAGCAAAGTTCTTCCTAAACATTTACATGATGATAGTTATGTTTTTAGTTTTATTTAATTGGTAAAATGCATGATGACAAGAAATAGAATTCTGGTATGATTGTAATGAATTTTTATTCCCACAAGACACGGATTTTAGCTTGTTTTGTACACTGATGTATCCTCAGCATCTAGAACAATGGCTGGCACAAAAAGAGAACTCATTATTTGTTGAGCATTATTTCTTGAATTGACAGATAAGAAATAGCATATACATTTATTTATTGAATCCACACACAAAGTTTGATGGTGTTTCAATCATTCAGAATAACTATACCTCTGCCCCAATTCTATAGCTCATTGATAGGAGACAGTTGCAGTAGGCACTAACTATACTACCTATTTTTATATGCAGATTGGTTTTGGAGTCAGACAGATCTGGATTCAAATTCCCATACTGTTGTGGGCTGTGTGACCTCTGGTTTTTCTCACTGAGATGGGTATGAAAATCCCTGTCTCATAATAGTGTTGTGAGCAGTTAATGCTCTTTGTACCTTATAAACATTCAGTAAATGGTAGTTATTATCATTAAAGATAAGAACTTTCATCTTCACATGGCAGGATGATGTTTTGAAGTTCCACCAGATGTGGAATAGGACATTTCCATGTGTGTCCAAACTTTGGCTAAAGCCCCAAAGATGAGGGCAAAAGGCCATAAGTAACTCCACGTTCTAAGGAGGGAAGCCTAGGAGATACCTCCCTCAAGATTGTAATAAGAGTAGGACAGAATTGTTTTTGGATTCTCCCACTCACACCCTAGCAACTCAAATAAGCAAAAGACTGGAATTCATTGAATGAGGGAATTCTGAGTCATGAGTTGTCCCCTGAGGTTCCCCTTTCCTCTCACCCCACCAGACAAGTTCGTGGCAAAGGGCTCCTTACTAAAAGGACTGGCATTAAATCAAGGCTAAATCCTTGCAGAACTGCAGAAGTTCATGAACCTACCCCAGTGTCCTAAAGTAGATCTAGTCAAAGAACATTCAGGAAAACTTGAGTTTGGATGTCAGACCTAAACATAAAGCCTAATATCTGCTTCCTGTCTGGAGAACTCCAGGCAGGAGGCTGTCTAGAACAACCCTCACTTGGAGGCAGGGCATTGTTTGATATGGCAAGATGTGTAATAATCCCATGGGTGAAATTGATGCCAGGAAAGAAAGCTGAGCTTCCCCCTAAGGATCTCCTGCTGGGACAAGGAACCATAGCATAAAAAACCATGGAAGATTCCCCCCCCCTCCCCAGGGGCAGGAGGGGGACAGTGTAGGGGAGAGGTTTACAGGAGGTCAGCCAAAGAGCATATAACTCATCAGGATACTGTGCAGATGGGGTTCCCTAGGCAGGGTGGGAGGAGAGGAGCTACGGAGAAACCCACAGCATTCCAGAGCATAAAGACCAGAGAGAACCTCAGATCACCCCATTTAAGAGATTTTATCCAAACCTCACCCCACCCCTGCAGGAGCCAAAAGCAAGGAAAGAGGAGAAGGAGTAAAAGAAGGAGGAGTAAACAGACCTTGACTCTGTCCCAGCTGCAGGTTGTGGAGCCATAGATCGCACCAGACATTGGAGGGGGTAAGGAGCTTTGAATTAGGTATAAGATTTACATTTTTGAATTGGATTTAATGGGACTTAGAATTATTAATTTTTTTTAATTAAGGCTATTTTCCCCACGAATAAAAATCCAAAAGTTACAAAAAAATTATATAGTGAGAAATCTTTCTTCTGTTTCCCCACTACCCAGTTCTCCCAGGTTAAATCAATATTATCCAATTTCTTGTGTAGACTTCCAGATCTACTTTGCACACATACAAGCATACATATGTATCCATTCTCCTACCCCCCACATCACCCTTCTGTGTTGCCACTAATGTGGGAAGAAAAAGGGCCAAAACAGGACTGGTGGGGGAGTCAGAAGACAAGCAGTCAAGGTGACTACTATCCATGCTGGCAGTCCCACGGCCGTGTCTTTTTCTGCTTAATTTATTCTGAAGAACCAAGAATCTTGCAACCAAGAATCTTGACAGGTCTGAGCTAAGTAATGAGGTTCAAACTATTGGAACAAAGTCTCATTTGCATTATTTTTAAGGAAATAAATCAGCTGTTGTCACTGATCTGTATATCCCAATCAGACCAAAAAAGGGAATCTGACCAAGACTCTGGTGGATTCTCTAACTGATAAAGGAAATACGGGTTTGTTTGTTTGTTTTTTTAATATATAGAAGAGGAGTTCTAGTTCTGTATTTTACCTTGATTTTAATATGAGCCCCCATTCTTCCAGGATTTCAAATCCATCTTCTTTCACCAGAGTTTTGTCTAAATTTCTGGTGGAATGTGGGGGTGAGTTGGATGAGGCAGAAGAAGTATTTGGTCCTCTGTCCGTACAGGCAGCCCCTCATGTGCATCCTTCCATCTCATTCTCAGCTAGTGCTGTATCATCCCTTCCTCCTACTTGCAATGCTCCTCTTGGTCTGGCTCTACCAGCTATTTCTGGGCTCTTCTTAGGTGCGTGAGAACCACTCAACCCCTCTGGTGCTGTGCTGGACCATAGCTAACATCCCTGCTTGCCTAGATGCACCGTTTAGCAGAATCTTGTAACCATTCTGCGTGCTTTGTCTCTCATCTGTCTCTGTCTCTCTCTGTTTCTCTGTCTCTTTCTTGAGAGCAACAAGTTCCTGGGCTAGGGGCCAAATTGTCTCCCCACCCTCCAAATTCATATGTTGAAGTCCTAGCCCCCCTGATGGCTATATTTGGAGTAAAGAAGTAATTAGGGTTAAATTAGGTAAATTAGGGTTAAACACCAATATTATTAGTGTTCTTATAAAAAAAATACAAGAAGGGTGCCTGGGTGGCTCAGTCGATTGAGCGTCCAGCTTTGGCTCAGGTTATGATCTCACAGTTCATGGGTTCGAGTCTCACATCAGGCTCTGTGCTGACAGCTCAGAGCCTGGAGCCTGCTTTGGTGTTTCCCTTTCTCTGCTCCTGTCCCACTAATGCTCTATCTCTCTCTCAAAAATAAATAAACATTTTAAAAAATCATTAAAAAAAAAAAAAGAAATACAAGAGAGCTCCCTCTTTCCACCATGTGAGGACACAGCCAGAAGGCAGCTATCGGCAAAGTAGCAAGAGAACTTTCACCAGGAGCCAAATTGGCCAACACCTTGATTTTGGACTTTCAGTCCCCAGAACTGTGAGAAATTTCTGTTGTTTAAGCCACCCAGTCTGTAGTATTTCTTTATGGCAACCTGAACACACAAATACACCCTGCTTCGTGTATCCCTTAACTCATTTTGGTGATTCTTTTGACTACTCACCTCCCTCCACCTTCAAGCAGGGGGACTTGGGGGGGCAGGGATCAATGCCTAAGCTCTCCTGGCTCCCTGCTCGTTTCCTAGCCTGGGATCCTTTTCTGGTCTTGGAAACATTAACTCACATTTTTGGTCCAAATCTAAGTTGTTTCTGCCATTCTCAGGGACTTTGAGATACACATTCCTTTCCTGGGGGCAATTGAGAGTGCCAGAAATAAATTGGTAAGGGGAAGGAGTAGAAATATTTAGGAGAAGAGGGTCAAAGAAGGAGATACTGGAAGGAAAAGCATCAGTTAATGTTACAGATTACCTCCCTGCTGCAATCTGGGTGCCCCAAAGCTTTGTGTGTATTCACCTAGGCAGTCTGACTGCCATGTGGAAATGGAACAAAAAGAACCTTGTCTAGTGCCTTAGCTCAAGGTGCTGTAACAAAGTACCACAGACAGGGTAGCTTATAAACAACAGAAATTTATTTCTTGCAGCTCTGGAGGCTGGACATCCAAGATCAGGGTGCCAGCATGGTCAGGTTCTGGTGAGGGTCCTCTTCTGGGCTGGCCCTTCTATAGCCTCACATGGCAGAAAGAGGACAAGACAGTGCTCTGAGTTCCCTTTTATAAGCACACTGATCCCATTCATGGAGTTCCACCCTCATGACCTGATCATCTCCCAAAGGCCCCACCCCCTCATACCATCACATTGGGAAGTAGCTCTCAACATAGAAAGGGGGGGAGGGGGGGGAGCACAAACATTCAGTCCATTGCATCTTGGACTAGTTCTGCCAACTTCTTTATGGGCAGAAAACAAAACAAAACAAAACTGTCAGCCTTCCAAAGGGAGAAAATCTTCTTCATCTTCACTGGCACAAGCACACTCGAAGAGAAACCTGTTGGAGCCGAGAAAGGCTGGGGCCTCTGGGGCTGATGAGCCAGCCTAATCCCTCAGGCTCCACTATAGGTGTGACTAATTCCTTCATAAAACAAATGTAGAGTATAGGAGCTTGCATCCTTCGCCCTACTTTATGGAAGATGGCACAACACAAATCAGAAACACTTGACCTCAGACACAGCTCCAGCTTTTGGAAAACTACAAGACATGAGTCACAAAGACTGGGGATTATTTTCATCTCAAGTGCAGCTTCAAAGAGAGGCAGAATCACACAGCATTCTAAGAGCCAACTAACACCACTGGCTGATTTGAGCGGAGGCAGACTCTTTCCCTCTCCCCTTATAGGGGAGAGCCAGCTTAGCTGTCTTGAGGACAAAGAACTTTCTGAAATGCACTCGCAGGGTCCTCCTGAAAGCTTATTACAGTTCTTTGAATGATCTATCCACTCAGCACCTGCAAAGGGGAGGTCTCATCTGTGTTAGATCCTCACAAGAATGTCAAGAGCTTCGATCTCTCCTTTAGAGGAAGTGGTTCCCAAACCTAATTTCTTTTCCCCGTACTTGATCCCTGTTGCAGATTTGGTGCCCTGAAAACCCTGTGCAAGAGTATGCTGGGGACCACCTCCTACAGAAGGGAAGGGAAGAGAGCAAAGTTGGAAGGAAGGAGAGGTCCAGCTGTGGTGTGGGTCCAATAACAGAGTCTTGGCCAATGCCCTTCAGAATCGCCCTGAATCGGGCAAGATGGTCAGGCTTCTATAACCCCACGTGGATTGTCACCAAGGTGTGAGTAGGATCGTGGCTGAGGCAGCTGTTTGCATTCAGAAAATTCCTGAAAGGGTTGGGAGAGCTGAGAGACAGCTGAAGAAGACTCTCAACCAATAGCACTCCCAGGTAGGAGGGCGACATGTCCTTCATTGAAGGAGATACGGCCTGCATCTGGGTAGTGCATCACAATACCCACCGGATGCCCCTTTCTGGGAGAAAGTCTGATAAGAAAGCAAGAATCAGGCCTCAGCAAAACCATAAAGAAGACAGCTTGGTTTGAGTGTCCCTCTTAAGATTCCCCTTCTTGTGAAGACTGACTCCTTTCCTTTTCCCTAGAAAGCCAGTGCTTTCATGCTGCCCTGTGCTGGATCCCGCCATTTTCTCACCACCTCTAGGAACTTCTGCAGACATTGTCCTGTTTCTCAGGGATTAAATACACTAGGACTTTGCTTCTGTCTCTCAAATTACAGGTTTCTTGTTCATTTTAACAGAGATCACCTATATCTTCACACAAATTAGTGATTCATGTTGAGAATTTCTGGAATTAATAGTCAGGAAAGCATTTTTTCCATCCACCTCTGATCCTTCTGAGATAACTTTCCTTCTTCATCAAATACATCTTCTAGTTCTGTGTGTGTGTGTGTGTGTGTGTGTGTGTGTGTGTGTGTGTGTGTGTGAACTTTTTAATTTTTTGTAGCAGATGAAAATCCAGGATACCAGGACAGAACCAGATTCCATGAGATTCTGGAATGTAGCTGAAAACATTGTGACATTGTTTCCCACCCTACGGTCTAGTAGAGGGGCAAAGAAGAGTCCCAGGAATTAGTACTAAAAAGAGAGAAAAGCCCTGGGGCCCCTGGAAAAGAAAGGAGAGGGATCTTAGGACGCTGGTTGTGGCCTGAGAAAGGACTCCAAGGTGGAAGAGAGGGACCCATGTTCCTAGAAGACAAAGCACTCCACAAAAAACAACTCCAACAGCTACCAAGTGATGGCATCTCTAACTCAGGCTCCCATCCCTCATCTGTGTTCAGCATTTTCATTGCCTGGGGCTATGAAAGCCCCTTTTTCATTGGGGTTTCACATATGTGTGCACTAAGTGGCTAGTGTTGGGCTTTGAAGTCCAAGATGACCTGACAGAATTTGAAAAGATCTGCGTGGACTCAAAACGATGCACACCTTTCAATCCGTTGTCTAACATGCCTTCCAAACTGTTACTTCATTCTCTAGAAAGATGAACCTTTATTTAACTTTCTTTCACACTTAATACAAAAATAGTATACTTATTTATTATAAATTTTGCAGATAATTTCTACTTTGTGATCGATTCTTTTTGATATCATCCAAGTTCTCCAAGGTTAGCACATTATTTTTATAACCAGAAAAAGAAATAATTAGCACTTTTGGTTTTTTTTTTAATGAATGAAATGATGTGATTAGGACCCAGACTCTTAACTTACAGACTTTTGTCTGGTAGAGATGTAAATAGTTTCTATTCAGCAGAAAACTCAACCCTAAACTGTATGGTATCATTGCCCCGTTGGATATTTCCCAGTTCTGTATGTCTCTTGGAAATCTCTGTGCCTCACATTCCTCCCTTGTAGGTAGGGATAATAGTACTTATCTCATAGGTTTGTTGTGTGCATTAAATGAGACACTCCAGGGGCGCCTGGGTGGCGCAGTTGGTTACGCGTCCGACTTCAGCCAGGTCACGATCTCGCGGTCCGTGAGTTCGAGCCCCGCGTCAGGCTCTGGGCTGATGGCTCAGAGCCTGGAGCCTGTTTCCGATTCTGTGTCTCCCTCTCTCTCTGCCCCTCCCCCGTTCATGCTCTGTCTCTCTCTGTCCCAAAAATAAATAAATGTTGAAAAAAAAATTAAAAAAAAAAATGAGACACTCCATATAAAACACTTGGAGAAGAGTCTATAATAGTAACAATAAGTGCTGCCTGTTATTATTACAAACTCATTTAACTGAAAAATCTAGGGCATATCCTTCAGGTATGGCTCAAGTAAGTCACGAGATCTTGCATCCTCACAACTCCACCCAAATCCACTAAGAGAATGCTTCTGTCTTGGCTCCTCTACCAAGAACATTGGGACTGACTGGAAAGACTCGTGTGCACTTGTCAATGCAGGTGCCAGTGGGGCAGGCAGCAGCAGGCAGCAGGTGCTCCAGGCAGAGGCAAAGACACAAGAGACTCCATTCCCTGGAATCTGGGTCCTGCTAGCATGGATTAAGACCCTAAAGTCCTACACAGCCCCAGTAGCCCTGCTTATTTCTATTTCATCATTTTTTTTTTTAACATTTGTTTATTTTTGGGAAAGAAAGAGAGTGTGAGCAGGGGAGGGGCAGAGAGAGAGGGAGACACAGAATCCAAAGCAGGGTCTAGGCTCTGAGCTGTCAGCACAGAGCCTGATGTAGGGCTCGAACTCACAGACCGTGAGATCAGGATCTGAGCCAAAGTTGGACGCCCAACGGACTGAGCCACCCAGGCGCCCCTCTACTTCATGATTTTAGGCTAAGACTTTCAAGTGCTTAATAGCAGTTAACATGGTATCTTTCCTTAAAAATGATTCTCTATGCGTTAAAAAAAAAATTTTTTTTTTTTAAAAGGGCGACACCTGGGTGGCTCCGTTGGTTGAGCAACCGACTTCAGCTCAGGTCATGATCTCGCAGTTTGTGAGTTCAAGTCCTGAGTCAGGCTCTCTGCTGACAGCTCAGAGCCTGGAGCCTGCTTCAGATTCTGTGTCTCCGCCTCTCTCTGCCCCTCCTCTGCTCATGCTCTGTCTCTGTCTCTCTCAATAATAAATAAACGTTAAAAAAAAAAAAAAAAAAGATTCTCTATGAACTTAGTCCAAAGACAGGCAAGATGAAATGGTAAATAGGAAGGAAACAAGATTTAAAATGAAAACAAGTGAAAATACCCTCTACATGTTCACCCAGTTCTGGTGAAGGGGACCCAGCTCACAAACATATAGAACACAATATACATGGGCTTCACCATCAGACAGTCCAGAGCCCAAATCTCTGCCCTGGCACTCACAGCAGTATCACCTTGGAAAAATCACCTAATCTTTCTGAATCTCCGATTCCTCATTTATATGTCATGAAGCTCAAGGAGCAACTCCTATGCTCTGCTTTGTTCCCCATATGCAGGAAACAGCAAGATCAGACATTCAGGTCTACCTCCCATTCTGTTCCTCTGAATGTTTTTTTTAATGTTTATTTTTTAAGAGATGGAGAGACAAAGTGTGAGTGGGGAAGGGCAGAGAGAGAGAGAGGGAGACACAGAATCTGAAGCAGGCTCCAGGCTCTGAGCTGTCAGCACAGAGCCTGATGCAGGGCTCGAACCCACAAACTGTGAGATTGTGACCCCAGCCGAAGTCAGACAGTTAGCTGACTGAGTTACCCAGGCACCCCTCCTCTGAATGTTTATGACAGTCTTAAGGGAGCACAGAATGATCCAGATGGCTCTGTTACTCTGACAGAAATAGGTGACAGCAGTCCAGGCTGTGGAAGTCCATGTTCTCAGGCAGCACTGATTGCTAAGCCCCCCTCTCCTACTGAGCAGTGCCACAGTGACCCTGGAGTACTGGTTCAGTACTAGTCCATGTATCAACCACCTTGCAGATCCATCATCCTCTGTTTCTGGTGACCCACACTTCCCAAACAATTGTCCCTCCTTGTAAACCTGCCTGTAAAAGTGGTCACATCCTGTGATCCCAGGTTGGTCCACCCTACCCATCTAAGGTAAGCTGTTTTCAAAAGTTCCCAGGTGATTTCCTGCCTCTGCCGTGACACAGATGGCAATTTCTCTTGCTAAAGAAGAGGAGAACCCCCCCCCACACACACAACATACACCCACATATACATTCACAAATTTAATTTCTGGAGAGTATCCCTCTTGTATGGCTTCCACAAACCATACATTTTTTATATTTATATATAAAATACGGATCATAACACCTACTTCCCAGGGTTATTATAAAGAATAGAAGAAACAATACGTACCAAAAGTACATTGCACACTTCCTGACACATAAAAGCTCCTTGGTGAGTGTTAGTTCACCTTCCCTCTGATCCAATTAGTTACCTTTATGGTGTATTGACAGCCAAAACAAACAAACAAACAAACAAAAACAGAAAAAGCTGACATTTAAGTAATACCTCTGAGTGAAATAGATGACCAAAGTTTTGGATCTTCCTGAAAGTGAAATGAAACCAGATAGGCAGGCACTTAATGTATCAAGCTATTGAATACAATGAACTCATTTTTAAAAAAAGATAGACAAAGAGGGGCGCCCGGCCCTCAGTCGATGGAGCATGTGACTCTTGATTTCAGGGTTGTGAGTTCAAGCCCCATGTTGGGTGTAGAGGTTACTTAAAAATAAAATCTTTAAAAAATAATAAAAAGAGAGAGTACAATCTGTTGCCCTCGAGGAAGCTGAAAACAGGTTGTCTTCCTAAAGCCTTAAATCCACCTGGGGGATTTGCCCAGCTCAGTTGTCCTCACTCATGATGGGCAGCAATCCCAGATTCACGACTCTGTTTTTTCCAACAACAACTGTCTTGAGGCAGCTCCTTGGGGCAGACTTGAATGTCTCTCATCAGGGTCTAGCAGATGTGGCTCTGAATGGTACTCTAAGCTCTGCAGTCAGTTTATTCTCATTGTCGGAGGGGATCCCAGTGTTCCAAGAGTGTGGCTTCGGTGTAGGGCTTGGGAGACCTTCCATGCCTCCCTTTCTAACTATTCCTGCAAACGGGACTCAGGTCCCCAGGAGGAAGCAGTTAAAAACGAGGGTGTCAGACAAGGGGGAGGTGGCGAACAAAGCAGTGAGGTCAACAAGTTTTATTTAACTCCATTTTATTCTGAAAGTTAGACCTGGGGAAACAAAACTTCTCTGTCACAAAAGCAATATAGGAACAAGAGTAAAGAGAAAGGACATGCCCTGCGTCATATATTTAGTGATCAAGGATCAGCACACGCATCTCTTAACCTTGACTCCACCCCCGCCGAGTCAAAGCAACAGCTGGAGCCAATAGGAACCACTGGAGCATTCGCTCAGGGATGCTTCTTCAGGATCTAAGCTATCAGAATCTCCTAAATGAGGCATCTCAGGAATTTGTATTTTTAAAGAGCTCCCCCGATGATCCTCATGTAGCCCCTGGCATTTGGCAACTCTCTGCTTTCTACCAGTAGTGCTTAGGAGTCCGTACCTGAAGCCTTGATTACACTCCTATGCCTGTTGCATACTACAAGTCAGCAGTGCCAGCAGGTGCTGAGGACAACAGAATGTTGCAAAGAGAGACTGTGTTTCAAAGTATTTACCAATTGGGAAACAATTAGAAATTGGCTCAGTCATGTTGGGTTGGTCAATCTCTCTTTGCTGCCTATGCCCCTGCCCCCGCTGTCCCTCCCCCCAACCATATACAGTCATCTAGCATGATCAC